GACGGGCCAGAGCCAGATGGCAGCAGTGTACAGCCCCAGCCAGAGCCCAGTGGGGACCCCTTGGTGGTGAGCAGCAGTGCCGCACCTACCATGTGGCTGGGAGCCCAGAATGGCTGGTGAGTGGCCTGGGGCAGGGGTGGGTGGGGTCTCTAGGGAACCCTGGCCCACCACAGCCTCCTCCCACAGGCTCTACGTGCACTCAGCGGTGGCCCACTGGAAGAAGTGCCTGCACTCCATCAAGCTGAAGGACTCTGTGCTGAGCCTGGTGTATGGGACCCCAGGCCGACTGGGGGCAGGGGGGGTAGTCTGGCCATCCTGAGCCTGACTCAGCATCTCCCCACTCTAGGCATGTCAAGGGCCGCGTGCTGGTGGCTCTGGCAGACGGGACTCTGGCCATCTTCCACCGTGGCGAAGGTAGGTCTTAGAGGCCCTACTCGAAACTAGTCCAGAGGGCTCCCTGGGTCCTAGGGCCACCTTTAGCCAGGCAATGGGTCTCCACCCCAGCCAGGCCTAAGCAGGTTTCACGGGCTCTCCAGATGGCCAGTGGGACCTGAGCAACTACCACCTGATGGACCTGGGCCACCCACACCACTCCATCCGTTGCATGGCCGTCGTGTACGACCGCGTCTGGTGTGGCTACAAGAATAAGGTGCACGTGATCCAGCCCAAGACGATGCAGATTGAGGCAAGTGCTGGCCAGCAGCCTGGGCTCCACAGGGAGGGCACTGATCTGCTAACCGGCATTGCTTCCCCCCTGGAAGCCACATGAGGAAATGGCTAAGAGAATTTACTCCTCTGTTCAAGACATGGGCAGATGAAGGGCAGCTGGTGTACTGTACTGCTCTGCCTGGAGCCTGCCCTCTGTTGTGCACCCTTGAAACAGGTCAGGGACACAACTCCCCTCCACCCTGCGCTTGGTCTCTCCAGGTCCTGGCTGGAAGCCTGGTGGCCTGTAGCCTGGGGAAGCCCCAGGGCTCAGCAGGGCAGGCTCCCCTTCCTGTCCTCTCCTGCCCCAGCCCCTGCTGATAGGCTGCTATGACCCTGCAGAAGTCATTTGATGCCCACCCACGGAGGGAGAGCCAGGTGCGACAGCTGGCATGGATAGGCGATGGCGTGTGGGTATCCATCCGCTTGGACTCTACCCTGCGGCTCTACCATGCCCACACGCACCAGCACCTGCAGGATGTGGACATCGAGCCCTATGTCAGCAAGATGTTGGGTGAGCCACCATACCAGGTGGGTGGCATGCAGGCACAGCTGGGCTTCACTGACCACTCTTTTCCTGACCCCACCCAGGAACTGGCAAACTCGGCTTCTCCTTTGTGCGCATCACAGCCCTACTCATTGCGGGCAATCGCCTCTGGGTGGGCACTGGCAATGGAGTTGTCATCTCCATCCCCCTGACAGAGAGTGAGTGACTTCCCCCGCAGGCACCCTACAGTTGTACTGACTGCTCCTGGCTTACTTGATTTCCCCGGTGGGTGGGCTCCACACAGCCACACCCAGGAGGCTCACACCCCTGCCTCTCCTCCCCAGCTGTGGTCCTGCACAGAGGCCAGCTCCTGGGACTCCGAGGTAAGTCCACAGCGCCTGCCCTGCCCTAGACACAGACCAAGGTGGCGGCTCCCCTGCGCTCTTGAGCCTGCTGGAAATACGGTGACTTGCCCCCCCCACACACTGTCTCCAGCCAACAAGACATCCCCCACATCTGGGGAGGGTGCCCGCCCAGGGGGCGTCATCCACGTGTACGGGGACGACAGCAGTGACAAGTCTGCCAGTAGCTTCATCCCCTACTGCTCCATGGCGCAGGCCCAGCTCTGCTTCCACGGGCACCGTGATGCTGTCAAGTTCTTTGTCTCCGTGCCAGGTGAGGGCTGCCTGCATCCTGCCTGGATAGCCCTGTGGATACAGCCTGTCCCCTCATGGGCAGCTGTCCTGAGGTCCCTCTGCCCCTGACAGGCAACGTGCTGGCCACCCTCAATGGCAGCGTGCTGGACAGCCCTTCAGAGGGTCCTGGGCCTGCTGTGCCTGCCACTGATGCGGAGGGCCAGAAGCTGAAGACCGCGCTGGTGCTGAGTGGGGGCGAGGGCTACATTGACTTCCGAATCGGTGAGTGGGCACCGGCGGGGCAGGCCGTGGTATGCCAGGCAGGACCCCTCACTGCTGCCCACTCTCCAGGAGATGGAGAGGACGACGAGGCGGAGGAAGGAGCCGGAGAGGTGAGCCAGGTGAAGCCTGTGCTGTCCAAGGCGGAGCGCAGCCACATCATCGTGTGGCAGGTGTCCTACGCCCCTGAGTGAGGCCATTGCCCCCCTTTCCACCGCCTGATGCCAATATGTACATAGGACCCCGCTGGCCTGCCCCTGCCTGCCCCGGGCACCCATAGCCCCTTTCTAACCTCTCAACCTGCAGCTTTCACCTGAGGCCCAGGCCCCCACTGGCAGGGAGTGGCCCCCCCAGATGTGGGTGGAGTGGGCCATGGGAGGGAGGCGGGAGAGGTGCCTGCAGCTCCTGGTCAGTACCCCTACCCAGCATACTCATGTCCCAGGGGCACCTTAGGGCTGGGGCAAAGCAGGACCAAGGTGGTTGTGGGCAGCCCCTGCAGCTGGCCTTGGCTCCACTGTTACCTCCTCACTCCTGGGACCCCCAGAGCAGGAGCAGGGGCTTCACTCTGCCCTGTCTTCCCACCCAGTCTACTTGCTTTTGCATGCTGCCCTGGCAGAGCCAGGCCTGGTGCCCATCCTATGCCCAGGGGTTTGGCGCTCAGACTGCCCAGGTGCCTGGGCCCTAGGTAAGCCCTATCTAGGGTTTACACCTTCCCTGACTAATGTCCCCTCAGTCCCCGCCCCAGCCTCCCCAGAGATCTGGTATGGAAGCTTGGGGCTAGGGTCCCTGAGGCAGCACCTTCAAAAGACAGACCAGGTACCCCTCACCCCCTGAAGTCCAAGGTCGTCCAGCCCCTCACTGACTAGTGTGCCCCAGGCTTCCCCTGGGCATGCGACTCACCTTTAAGGAGCAGGACTTTATAGTCCTGCCCCTCCCAGAATCTCTTAGGGTGGAATTTCTCAGGCTGCTAGAGCAGGCCCAGGCCTCAGGAAGAAGTGGAGGCTCCTGCCCTCTGCTAGGGTTAGTCCTAGGATGCAGGTTCAGCCTCAGGTTGATGGGGGATGGTGCGCTCCTGGGGCCTGCTTCCTGCACAGGGCTCCAAGGAGCCCAGCTCCCAGACACGTACCAAGTGCCTAGCGTTGCCGCTGTGGCCTGCTCCCTCAGAGAGAACTCACAGGAGGCTGCCAAGCAGAGGCCGGAGGGGCTATGCCACTGCAGCAGGGCTCTAGAGTTGTGGCAAGGGGGCAGGTGCTGCCCTTGCAGGTCTGCTCCCCCACCTTCCTGGGCCAGGCCTTATTCCTCCCACCAGAGGTACTGACCAGGGCAGCCTGGCCCCCGCTGCCCACTTCCTCCCACCAGAGAAGCACAGATCTTGGGGAGCTGTCCCATGAGCCCAGCTGGCCAACACAAGCTGCAGCCACAGGGAGCTGCAGGCTTCTCCCCACCACCCTGCCACCTCTCCACTGTGATGTATGTCCCATGTCTGTCCCCACTGGAGTGTGAAATGACTGGAGTGAGCTGGGTGGGTGCTTTGGCCCTGCAAGTGAACCCACATATCTGCTCTGTATGTAATAAACGTCTTAACACGTGCTGCTGTGTGTCCCTGGGACCAAGCCAAGCCAATGCTCACATGGTTTTCCTCCAGTTTATTATGAAAAGAAATGGGGGCGAGCCAAGCGCCAGAGGTGTCCTGCACGACCTGGCCCTCTGCTCCGTGGCCCACTTCTTCGTAGCTGTCCTGGCACGCCAGGTCCGAGGGGGTGGTCCTGTTGGGGGCAGTCCTGTCGGGGGCTACTCGTAGAGCCAGTGCCCGAGGCTGTCCTCCCAACAGAAGAGCTCATCCGACCGGAACCACAGCGCAATCTCGCGGCGGGCGCTCTCCACTGAGTCGCTACCGTGGATTACATTCCTGCGCCGGACAGGAGCGTGGGTGGACCGCGAAGGGGGGGGGGGTCCGAGCTGCAGGGCGGTGGGGGGGGGCACAGGTGGGCCTTACTTGCCGACTTCCACGCAGAAGTCCCCGCGAATGGTGCCAGGCTGGGCGTTCATTGGGTCCGTGGCACCGATGAGCGCCCTCGAGGCGCGCACGACGTCCAGGCCCTGCCACACCTGAGCGCGGGGCGAGCGTCAGCGCGCGCAGGGCTCCGGGGCTGTACCCACCTGCCGTCCACGGGAACTCACCATGGCCACCACGGGCCCAGAGCTCATGTACTTGACCAGGCGGCCATAGAAGGGGCGCCCGCGCAGCTCCGCATAGTGCTCACACAGCAGCTCCTCGGAGGCCTGCGAGAGGAAGGGCCACCGCGCTGCGCCCCGCGCCCCTCCTTCCCGCACCACCCAGCCCCTGCATGCGCCCTGCTCTAAGCGTCCGCACCTGCACCAGCTTCAGCGCCACCAGCTTGAAGCCCTTCCTTTCGAAACGCCGCACGATCTCGCCCACCAGCCGCCGCTGCACACCGTCAGGCTTCACGGCCAGGAAGGTGCGCTCGTGCACGCCGCTGCAGGCTGCGGGGACCCGGGCATCAGGTCGGCCCAGCAGCCTGCGCCCCGTCCGC